TCAGTCCCATTTTACAATAGTGGCCTTATGCAATATTTGTCCTTTTGTGACTAAGACATTTCACTCAGCATAATGTCCTCCAGGGTCATCCATTTTACATAATAGTATCTGAGTTCCTTGTTTTTCAGTGCTGCATAGTATTCCATTGTGTGAATATACCAGAGCTTCTCTAGCCATTTTTTTGTTAGTGGACACTTGGGTTGTTTCCATCAGGGCCTCTTCTGATATCCGCTTTGGTCTTATTCTTTCTCCTCTGTCTTTAGAATGACCTTTTTCTCTTTTATGGATGATATCCTTGATGTCATCCTACAACTAGTCTGGTCTTTGATCACTGATATGCAGTCTCAAACCTATTCTTAAGATGATTTTTAAATTCAAGGGAGTTCTGGTGGCCTAGTGGCAAGAAGTGGCACTGCAGTTCCAGAGGTGTGTGGTTCGAATCCACCAGATGCTCTGCTGGAGAAGGAGGGACAATCTCCTTCTGTACCAGTCAGATCTGATTTGATGGTATACACACACACACACACACACACACACACACATTTTAAAAAAGATTATTTTTAAATTCAGGCATAATAAACGCAAGATTATATTTTGATTCTCATGGACTTGTTTTAATTTTCTTCAGCCTCAATTTAACTTGTATATGAATAATTGATGGTGTAGTAATTGATGGTGTATTCCACAGTCAGCACCTGGCTGGGTTTTGACTTCTGATATTGAGCTTCTCCAGTGATTTGCTCCAGAGATGTTGATGTTGTTATGTGACTTTGAGTTGCTTGTGACTCATAGTGACTCTATGTACAACAGCCCTGCTCTATTCTGACCCAAACTTATGGTCTCTAACACACCTACCCCTCTATCCCACTTACTGACTCAATCCATCTCATTGAAGGTCTTCCTCTCTTGTGCTGTCCCTCTATCCTCCTAAGCATGATATCCCTCCCCAAGGACTGGTCCCTCCTTGCAGCATGCCCAGAGTATGTCAGATGAAGCTTCAGAATCCGTGCCTCCAAAGAGCAGCCTAGTTTCATCCTCTTCAGGATGAACCTGTTTGTTCTCCTAGTGGTCCTAACCCTAACCCTAACCCTAACCCTAACCCTAACCCTAACCCTTAACCCCTAACCCTAACCCCAACCCTAACCCTAACCCTTAACCCCTAACCCCTAACCCTAACCCCAACCCTAACCCTAACCCTTAACCCCTAACCCCTAACCCTAACCCTAACCCTGTCTTCATACTTTTTCAATTTATATACAGAACAGATCATTCGGGAGGCTGGGCTTTATGAGGAGGAAAGTGGCATCAGGATTGGAGGAAGACTCATTAGCAACGAATATTATGCAGATGACAAAACATTGCCTGCTGAAACTGAGGAGGGCCTGAAGCCCTGCAGCCTTAAATATGGATCAAAGCTCAACATCAAGAAAACAGAGATTCTCACCACTGGGCTGATTGGCAGCACTATGATTGATGGAGGAGAGACTGAGGTTGTTAACAATTACAGCTTGCTCGGCTCCACAGTCAACACTCTTGGCACCAGCAGTCAGGAATCAAAAGATGAATTGCACGGGGAAATCTGCTGTCAGGAACCTCTCCAGGGTACTGGGAAGTAATGGTGTCAGTCTAGAGACTAAGGTGTGTCTGATCCAGGCCATGGTCTTCACAATTACTTATTATACGTCAGAGAGCCGGACAATGACAAAAGATGACAGAAGAAGAATTGATGCCTTTGAATTGTGCTGGAGAAGAGTCTTGAACATTCCATGGACCACCAAGAAAACAAATAAATCTGTCTTTGAAAGGGTCAAACAAAATTTCTCCTTAGAAGCTAGGATTTTGAAGGTCCATCTCACATACTCTGGGCATGTGGCCAGGACAGAGAGGTCTTTGGAGAAGGACATCCTGCTTAGAAGGGTGGAGGGACAACGCAGGAGAGGAAGTCCCCGGGTCAGATGGATTGATACAGTAACTAGGGCAAGGGGGTAGGTGTTTCAGTCAGTGAGACTGGCTCAGGACAGGGCAGGCTTCAGAGCTGTTGTACACAGGGTTGCTATGAGTTGCAGGTGATTGTATAGTATAGCATATAATAACAGCAACAACAGTCTATCCCAAGGGAATGTACTACTCTTACCATTAAGTAGACTCAACCACAGAGATTTGGAATCTCAATACCAATAAGAGAAAGCAGGATTCATCCTTCCAAACTAGAGCTTTCTGAGCCAGTGACTGCAGGATCTACACAAGAGCAATAGTAGCCCTGGCAGAGAATCAGAGACCCACATGACAGAGCTGCCTTGGGACTGCTGACCCCTGGAGCCAGCATCAGAGGCCTTGCTGGAGGACGGAGGGAAGACATCATACCTGGCAGGGAACTTTGTCACACTGATCTAAGCTGCAAGACTGAAGGTTAAAAGTCCTGTGACCACACTTGAGAGGCTGTCTGGACTGAAGGATTGTATTCTGCTGTCAACCTGAGTTATAGGCTATTAACCTTCCTCATAAGCCCCATAATTGTGAGTATGAGACCTGAGTATCCACTGCAGCGGACTTTGGATCCAGCAGAGCAGTAATACTGGAGTTAGTAGAAGTAGGTTCAGGAGTGGAGAGACCATGTCTGACTTTCGAGGAACAAGCTTCATACTGTGGGTGTTGTTGATGGGGACAGTTACCCTTTGTGGAATTAGCAGAAGTCAGACTCAGCTGTCCTGTTTTCTTATTGCCTACATTCTTTTTACACAAGGCAAAATATTGTAACAGTGCATTGTAGTGCACAGAGTAGTTACAAAAACCAAGAGAAGAACGTTCTTTGCATTTCTCAAGCTGAAAACCTGAAGAAACAATACAAGCCTTGAGTTGCAACATGGGCATCAAAAGATGATGGAAGGACTATACAGAGTCACTGCATCAGAAAGAATTGGCTGACATGGAACCACTGCAGAACGTAGCCTGCAATCAAGAACCAGTCATGCTGAAGGAAGTTCAAGCTACATGGAAGGCATTGGCAACAAACAAACAGAAAAACTCAGGAATTGATAGAATACAAATTGAGGTGTTTGAGCAAACAGATTCAATGCCAGGTGTGTTCACTACTCTATATCAAAAATACCTAACCAACTGACTGGCAGAGAACCATGAATGTTCTCATTTCAAAAAACAAGTGATCTTCAGAATGAGAAATTCTAAAATAATATCATTAATACCACATACAAGTAAAGAGTCTAGTAAAATGACTGGGACAGTAATCCACAAGGAATAGCCACAAATTTCAGCTGGATGCAGAAGAGTGCATGGAACAGGGGATACACTGCTGATGTCAGATGGATTCTGGCTGAAGGCAGAAAATACCAAAAGGATGTTCACATGTGTTTTATTGACTGTGCAAAGGCATAGGATTGTGTGGATCATAGTAAACCCCGACTACTGAGAAGAGTCGAATTTTAGGACACGTAACTGTGCTAACGGAGCATCGCCCACAGGGAGTAGTGCTGTGAGCTCAGAGATTGCCGCTCTCTGGGAGTGCACGTGTCCCAGCCTCTCCACAGGAGAAAGATGAGCAATCCCTTCCTGTGGTTTACAACCAAACCACCTGAGGGTCAGCTGAGTCAGTGTCAACACAATAGCAGTGAGGTGAGTAGTTTGTGTTCATTGGAAACCTGTACATAAACCAAGCAGCAGTCATTTCTAGAACAAGGATATACTGCATGGTTCAAAATTAGGAAATGTGTATATAGGGTTGTATTTCTCACTCAATATTTATGCTGAGCAAGTATTGAGAGACTGCACTATATGAAGAAAAATGTATCCAAATGGAAGAAGACTCATCAACAGTCTATGTTACACATATGACACAACTTTGTTTGCACAAAGTTAGGAAAATTTAAAGTACTTTGATTAATAAAATCAGACTACAGCCATCAATATGACATTGAGAGAAAAAATGAAAATGGAGGAAAGGTTGGACTAGGACACACAGTGAATACTCATGGTAGTAGTGTCAAGAAATCAAAAGAAATGTTGCATGGGTCAAATCTGCTGTCAAAGACTTATTTAAAATGCTAGAGAGTAAGGAAACAGTTTAGACAAGCACACCTAACTCCAGTCACAGTACTGTCAGTTGCTTCATATGCCTATGAAAATTGGACAATGAATAAGAAATACTGAAGAAGAATGGATTATTGTAAGTTGAGTTTGTGAAGAATACAGATTACCCTGAGTCCATCCTAAAACAACAAATCAGTCTGTCTTCAAGGAAGTCCAAGCAGGGTGCTCCTTGGTGGCAAGGACAATAGGGGAACAAAACTTTCTGCAACCTTTGTGTGTGTGTGGATTTTTTTCCCTTTTTGTTCATCTCACATACTCTGGACATAACTGTCAGGAGAGGCCAGTCCTTAGAAAAGGACATCATGCTAGTAAAAGAAAGACAACCTTCTAGGGGATGGCATGGCATCCTGCCTGAATAATGGACTTAAGCATGGTGGGGATGGTGTGGAGTGAAGAGCATAGGGCATAATTTGGATCTGCTGTGCAAAGGTCCATGAGTTTTAGTGGAGCCCATGGGACCACAACAGAGCACCACGCACCTCCACGCACAAGACTTAGTCATTGCTCACACCTGTGAGGCCAGGTAGTTCAGTCCATCAATTTCAAAGGGGGCACGAGGGAACCAGGGTAGGTCTGAAGTGAAAATGGCTAAGAGACACATGCATGCCTCCATAGGTCCAGCCTCTTAAGACGCACAGTGCTGTTGAATGGTTCTCACTTTATCTTCTAACTCAGTCTCCTGGTTTTGCTTCAGTGGAAGGGCACCAGAGACAGTACCCAGGGTATGTGCTGGGGGAGTTCCCCAGGGGCACCCTTCTTATCCCATCTCCTGCAGAGAAAGAGCACCGTCCTGGGTCCAGAGGGAAAAGCTTTACTAAGGGGAAGGTAAGCAGTGGGACTGCCATGCTGCCCGCCCCAGGCTGGGGTCTGCATGCTATTTCATATGCTATGCTGTTTCACACGTCCAAGTCAGACATCGAGTCTCTGGTCCTGTAGCTGCGATCTCGGCGAAGCACGATGCCTGGGTTGGATGTGGCCTCTGGGGGCCAGTGGCGGACCACGTGGCGGTACGATGTATTCAAGTAGTCGAAGTAGTTAATGTTGAGCTTCCGCGCGATGTGCCTGCCCAGGAATTCCATCTGCTGTGGGAACGGGTGTGCTCAGTCAGGACAGAGATGCCGGCAGGAATATCACCTTCCTCCAGCCTGCAGCCCCTAGCCCTACCCAGCCAGCCCCTCCTGGAGAGCTTCACCCTACTTCTCTCACCAGCAGCCTAAACCCTAAAGGGCGTCCATGCTGAGGAGAGGGAGTCTTGGACTCACTTCGTAGCGCTCAGACAGCTGCACGAGCACCAGCGGCTCCAGCTTGTGGCCGCACAAGACAAGATGGAAAAAGCACCGGCCATAGGCTGGGGGAGAGAGGGCTCAGCTGACGCGCCCCAGCCCCCTCGTTCTCTGCCCCTGCGCTCCTTCCCCCGTCAGCGCGCCCCGCGTCACCGTCGGAACTGAGCCAGGCGCCCCGCACTTGCACCCTTGCACTTGCACCCCGCGTCACCGTCGAAACTGAGCCAGGCGCCCCGCACTTGCACCCCGCGTCACCGTCGGAACTGAGCCAGGCGCCCCGCACTTGCACCCCGCATCACCATCAGAGCTGAGCCAGGCGCCCCACACTTGCACCCCGCGCCCCCGCATCACCATCAGAGCTGAGCGCCAGGCGCACGTAGATGAGGTGCAAGGGGCCCTGGTAGATGGTGCGGCCCTGGATGGAGAAGTGGTAGGTGCCACGTCTATGGTTCAGCACCAGGCGGCGCCGCGGCAGTGACGACACCATGAGCCACAGCCCCACGACCACGCCGTACGTGGGCAAACACCACACCTCCTGGTCCAGCACCTGCGGGGCATGCAGAGGTAGGCCTGCAGGGGGGCATTTGGGAAGGCCACCCAGAGGAACGAGCCTGAGGGAGGGGGACACCGAGTCATGGGATCCAGTTCTCAGGGAGAAAGGTGGAGAACAGACCTTGCCCACAAAGCAGGCTAGGAAGACGCAGACAGTGAAGAGGAGCGCTCCCTTCCACAGTGAGTCCAGGTAGTACTCGAGCACAAAGACTGGGGAGAGCGGTGCCTGGGCATGAGGGCTGCTCTCGCGGTCCTGGGCCACACTTCCCATGTCCCCCCCACCCCATCTCGCACCATTGGGCTGCTGCCTAGTGAATGGGTAGAAGCTGTTTTCCTTGAGGCACCTGGCCAAACGGCGCTCAGTGCAGAAGCATCCGGGCACCCACAGCTGAAAACGGTTCGCACTGGCAGAAATGGACAGGCTGCTATCTTTGCCCCTGGGGACCTAGTCAGACACAGGTGGTCAGCAGCCAGCTCTCCTGTGGCCTCAGCTTGCTGCCCACTTGCCCAAGGGAGCCGAACCTCCAGGACTGTGGCTGCCTTGGACACAAAACTCCACACCAGAGTAGGTTCTACCAGAACTGTGGCTGCCAAGGACACAAACACCAAACCAGAGTAGGTTCTAGAAGCTGAGATGTGTGTTCTAGAAGGGTATGGCTCTATTGACCTTCCCTCCTCCACATCAGGTGTGGGGCTCCACAGGGATAGTGTACTTTCTTGTCCGTCCTCCACCCCCCGACGCTTACCTGAGATCAGAGATGACCCCTAAAGCATGAGGTGACTGATGTTGGCCTCTAGATGCCAGGTGCAATCTGCAGGACACCCCAAAAGCCAAGGCTGAGCCAAGAACTTTGTGCTAGTTTGGAGCTCCTCACAAGGACCAGCCCACTTTGGTGTCCCCATGGGTAGAGGCATGCAGCCCAAGAGGTCAACCATGCACAGCTGTCAGTGCAAAGCAGCACTGGGGTTTCAGGGCTGGTTGGCACCAGGCTCTCTGTGATTCCCTACCCCTCACTTTCACCCTCAAAATCACAGAGTTCCCAAAAACATTTTATTGTGCAAAAATTCAAACATCCAAAAGTGGTGTGATGGGGGGCACGGCTGGCTGAGGTCCCCTAGTTGGCGGACAGGGAGTTGGTGAGTAGTTGGTCCAGGCACCTCTGGACCTCCTCTGGACCCCGGTAGGCCCGCTTCAGGCCCCGGGGAAGGCAGCGGCAGGACTCTAGGTTGAGAAATGTGAGGCCTGGGCAGCTGATGATCACAGAGCTGGTGGAGATAGACAGGACAAGATATCATGCTGCTCTGAGCCTTGGGCCCACCTCTAGAACCCAGAGAGGAGGCACCAAGCTGGACTCTCCAGGTCCCGCAGGCTGGGGGTGGCTCTCACCTGACTGTGCTGGGTGTGACCCGTGTACCCCTGAGGTTGAGGGAGCACAGGACCGGATGTGAACCCCTGGGGGCAGCCCCGAAGGTGGCCAGGGCCTGCTCTAGGTCCTTCTCACTGAAGCCCTGGCCACTTAAGTCCAGCTCCCGCAGGGTGCGATACCACTTCTGGGTCAGCAAGGGGCTGCCCTCTTTGGCAAGAGTCAGCCGGTCAGACATGCCGTACAGGCCCAGGTACAGATGCTCCAGCTCTGAAGGTGAGAGGGGCAGGTGAGCAGGGAGCACAGGGTGCTCCACACCCCACTGCCCGGCATAGCTGACCTTCACAGGGCAGATGGTATAGGCCGGCAGGTGTGATGCGGGCACAGCCGCGGAGGTCCAGCAGGCGCAGGCCTGGGGAGCCATGCAGCAGGCGGCCCAGAATGTCGTTGCTCACAAAGTTGTAGGTGGAACTGGCAAGGCAGAGCTCCTGCAGGCAGGGGAAGCCGGGGCCCTGGGCTGGCCCTCGGCCTGCAGGCTTGGGGAGCCACATCAGGTTCAGGAGCCGCAACACCTGGGGTGAGGCCCAGATTGCAGACAGTGTGTGGAGTGGCAGGTGCCAGGGCAGGGGGGGCCGGGCATCAAGTACCTGCAGCTGGGGGCAGCCCTTCTGCAGGGCCTCGACCGGCAGCTGGAGGGGGGTGGTGCTGCAGCCGATGCCGGTACCCACTTCCAGCACGCGGAGCTGGGAGCAGCTGTTCTGCAGGGATAGGGAGACTGCATGGGTGACCTGACCCAGTTCAGCACCTGCCTGTGCTCCAACCGTCACCAACCTACCAGCAGTGTGCCCAAGATGGCTGTGGTCTGGGAGCTGTAGGTCAGCCATAGTTTACGCAACCGGGAACCCACCTCCTCCAAGAAGCTCAGCACAGCAGCAGACTCCACCTGGGGGCCCAGCACAGGGGTGCCTGTCACCTCAGCCCGGCTTCTTCAGGGCCCCTGGGGATAGCTGGCTCACCGCGGAGTGCTGCAGGTCCAAGCTGTGGAGCTGGGGGCAGGCTTTGGCCAGCACAACCAGGGTGTCTGGAGTTGCCCCATGACAGTCTGAAAGCTTGAGGAAGGTGAGTCGAGGGCAGAATTCACTAGCGAGCTGTGGAAGGCAGGAGGACCAGGGAAGTAGGGTAGGCAGGCCATAGGCCCTACTGTCACCCCCCCACCTGCTTCCACCCTGCTGGCTGCAGGCACAGTGCAGAGAGCTGCCAGCAACCCACGGCCTAATGTGACAAAAGAGAGCGGCGCTCACTCCGGGCCCCTCCTGATGGCTTCCACCCTTCCTGAAATGGCACTGTTCTCTGTAAATCAACTTCCTGGTCTGAAGTGAAAGCTGTCTGAGCCAGTTCCTGAAATGGCATGTAAACACCTGTGGCACCAGAGAACTGATCCTCTCGTTTAAGCAGGAAGTCAAGTTATGTGTGTTAGAAATTGTGAGGAAGGCACCACAAAGAGAGAAAAAAATCCAGCTGAAAAATGGACACAGGATATGAACAGACACTTCACCAAAGACGACACTCAGATGACGAACTAACACGTGAAGAAATGTTCAAAATCCCTAGCTCTAAGAGAAATGCAAATCAAAACGACTATGAGATATCATCTCACCCCAGTAAGAATAGCAAAATTTAACAGAACGAACAGCAAACAACAAATGCTGGTGAAGTTGTGGAGAAACTGGAACCCTTATTCACTGTTGGTGGGAGTATAAAATGGTGCAACCACGATGGAAGGCTGTATGGCGCTTTCTCAAAACGTTGCAGATAGAAATATCATTTGACCAGCAATTACACTACTGGGAATATACCCTAAACCGTATCTGCCGCCAAGCAGATATATGCATACGCCCATCAACAAACTAATAGAGAAGCTCTGGTATATTCACACAATGAATACTATGCTGCACTAAAAAACATGAAATATTATACAATATGGGTGACCCTAGATGACATTATACTGAGTGAAATATCTCAGTAACAAAAGGACAAATACTGCATAGTGTCACTCTTGTAAAGCGGGATTGATATGGGGGTTAGGGGGAAACTAAGAAAAGAGGGGATAAATAATGTATACTGCATTGAAACAGATGAGGGAGAGAATTGCCTAGGAGGAATGATTAGGTAGTATTGTCATGACAGGAGTCCAGAATGAAAGCTGCATAGTGGAGTGGACTGGGGGAGGGAATTGGATAACAATTTAAGAATTTTACTTTTCAAAAAGAAAAGTGATCTGGGGGGAGAGGTGGGCAGGGAGGACAGTGAAACAATGAATGAATGGAAATCCAGTCTCTGTAAACGTTCATTGAAAGAAAAAAAAAATATAAACAAAAATCTAAAAAAAATAAAGGATAACTTAGGAATTGTACTTAGAATAAAACTTTATGTTAAAAAAAGGAAAAGAAATTGTGAAGAAGACACAGGATAGGCCAGAGTTCAGATCTGTTGTTCCTAAAGTTTCTATGAGTCCTACTTAACTCAATGGCACATAACAACAGCAGAGTTACCGACCAGACGGGGACTGAACAGAAGCTGCTGCTCCAAGGTTCATGTACATCATTCCATACTAAGTCATGTCTCTCCCACAACATCCATCTTGGAAAGCCAGCGAGGTGCACACTTAATTATCGTACCTCTATTATTCAAAAAACGTATTGCAATGGGAAAGTCTGCTGTTAGGGACCTCTCTAAAGTACTCAAGAGCAACGGTGTCTCTCTGGAGACTAAACTAAGGTGCACCTGATACAGGCCATGGTCTTCACAATCACTTGTTATGCATCAGAGAGTTGGACAATGACTAGGAAGGATAGAAGGAGAATTGATGCCTTTGAGCTGTGGTGCTAGAGAAGAGTATTGAATGTCCCACGGACTGCCAAGAAAACAAACAGATTCATCCTGGAGAGGGCCAAACCAGGGTGTTCCTTGGAGGCAAGGATTCTGAGGCTTAGTCTGACATATTTTGGACATGTTGTAAGGAGGGAGAGGTCCTTGGAGAGGGACATCATGCTTGGTAGGGTGGAGGGACAGCGCAGGAGGGGAAGACCCTCTATGAGGTGGATTGATTCAGTGACTGGGGTAATCGGGATGGCTGTGTCAGAGACAGTGCGATTGGCACAGGATAGAGCAGGGTTTAGGGCTGTTGTACATAGGGTCGCTATGAGTCGCAAACAACTTGACATTACTGACATTATTATAAGGGCTGTTTCCCAGAATCCTCCACGTCACTCTACGGATAAAAATGAAGCCTCTTTTTCATCCAAATCTTTACAAACTAAAAAATTCCTGCCAAGTGAGTACATGCCAGCATTACTCAGTTCCTCCACGTGTCCTTTTGCACAGTGCCCTTCTTTGCGAAGGACTTTCCCTAACGAACTGCTTTTTGCATGCATAGAAAGTCCTGGACTCCTGTCCTGCCATCTTATTGAGCAGGAAGAATTCAAAATTAAGGAATGCACTGACTGGAGGCCACATGTAAGGGGTAAAGAAACAGGGGGTTAACCCAGCGTTGCACTGGTGTGCAGGGCGTTCTTATTACTCACCTTCAGCACTGCGTGAAGCTGCCATTTCCAATGTAGCAAGGTCAGCTTCTGGAGCTGGGAGAACCTGGCCCACGGTAAATGAAGAGCTGGCTAGATGTCCCCACCCAAAGCCTCAGTGCAGGGAAACGGGTACGAGGGCTTTCCACAACACAAGCAGGGGGCAAAGGCGGCTCACCTGTGGGGCATAAGCCACTCCACGGAAGCAAGAAGCTTCTTCTCCGCCTTGGCTCCGCCCTTGGCGGGGCGACCGGCCAGCGGGGGCGACAGGGTTACCGTGTGCCAGAGCGCGGGCTGGGAAGCGGCCTCATGCCACAGGTGGCAGACGCGCGCGGCCCTGGGGAACAGATGGGCCGAGAGGCTGGGTCTCCTCCAGGCAAAGTCGGCCACTGGCGGCCGCCGCGGAGTTCTTAAGGGCGCGATATCCGAGCTCCAAGCCAGGCGCCGGGGCTCCATGCGCGGCCATCAGGCTGTCCCGTACCTATATGAGCGCGTACACACTCCCACGCTCTTCCCTCCACCCTAGTCACGCGCTCAGTGGACGCCAGGTCCGCCTGCGCCGAGTGAAGCCTCCCGCGGTGCAAGAGCCCCGGGACGTCGTACCTGCCAAGGAAGGGCACGGGCCCTTCGGCAGCCACCAGCAGCCCGAAAATGTGCACCAGAATTTCCAAGGGAAGACGGTCGCCCCAGCCCGGATCGGACCCCAGCGGGGCCTCGGGCTCGGGCCTGGGTTTGGCTCTGGTGGCCGCGGCGCGAGGACCCGGCGTCGGGCGGCGCTGCGCACGGCGGACGGCGCGCCTTTGCGCACGGGCGCGCGCCGGGCCCGGATCTGGCAGGACGAGCAGCATGCTGTCTGACTGCAGCAGGTGGAGCCCGGAGCCGCTCGGCGCCAGCCGCTCCCACCACCAGTCCTCGGCCGCGCGGGGCTGTGCTCTGGCCGGCGGCGCCCTCCGGGGCCTGCGCCGCGCCCCCCCGGGAGCCATGCGGCCGGCACTGGGCGCTCGACCGGACAAAGGGCCCACGGGGGTGGGCGGCGGAGGACCGGCTCTGCAGGGCAGCGCTGCAGGATCCGTCCCGCCTCCGCTCACGGCGCCGAGCAGCCAGCACGGGACTTCCGGGGCGGAACTTCCGGCGCGTGGCCGTGCCGGGGGCGGGTCAGCGAGTGCCGGCCTTTCGTGCGCTGCGTTGGGGTTGGTGCTCGGTCTCGCCGCGTCCCTGGGGCCGGGAGGCTCCAGCTCTTCGCCCCTGAGCCGGAGCGCAGCGGCCCCAGCCGCGCTGCAGAAAGGCCGGCCGCCAGGTGGGAGCGCGCGGGGTCCCGGATCCGGAGGCTCGGGGACCCCGACGCACCTGGCTCTGCTGTAGCGCGAGCTGCCGCCACGCACCTCTGCGAATTCTGCCTTGCCTCCTATTGTTGTGGGTGTCGCTGAAACCACGAGTTCACAGGTGGGCACAGAAGCCCCAGGGGTGCCCCTGTCCCGAGGTTCTTTTCCAGTGACTTCTGAAATGAAGGCGGCGGCGGCTCAGACCCTGACTCAGAGGCCAGGAGGATTGGTGTCCACCCACTTTCCGCAGGACTGTAACGCCTCCGGCCAGGCTTCCTGCTTGTTCGTCTGCAGGCGTTGCTTTGCTGGGCCCCCCGAGTGGGCACCTTGCCAGTCTTTCCGCGTTCTCTCTTATGCGCCCTCCACCCTTCTGCTCGCGGCCGTCTGAGCGCCTCTCCGACTCCGTCTTGTGTTTTCTTCAATCTAGAAGAGAGCTTTGTCTCGTAGAAGACGCGAGGGGCACCCTTGACCGAGAAGAGAATCAGGCTGTGACCCTCATCGTGCCCTGGAGGGTCCAGCCTTGGGCTGTATGGCAGCACCCCCGCCAGGCCACCTAGTGCTGGCCCACCTGCTCGTGGCCCTCTTCGGCATGGGCTCCTGGGCTGCAGTCAATGGGGTCTGGGTGGAGCTACCGGTGGTGGTCAAGGACCTGCCTGAGGGTGAGTGGGGCCCCACAGGGATAGGTCACTTGGGAGACCTTTGGCTGCCTGGCCCCTGACAGGCCTCCTTCCCTGCAGGTTGGAGCCTCCCCTCCTATCTCTCTGTGCTGGTGGCGCTGGGAAACCTGGGTCTGTTGGTGGTGACGCTGTGGGGGCGGCTGGCCCGCAGCAAGGCGGAGCAGGCTCCCATTCGAGCAGTGCAGGTGCTGAACGTGGTGGGCACGGCCCTCCTTGCCCCACTGTGGCGCCGTGTGGCCCCTGTGGGCGGGCAGCCCCACTCCGTGGCCTTCCTTACACTGACCTTATTGCTAGCTCTGGCTTGCTGTGCCTCCAACGTTACCTTCCTGCCCTACCTGAGCCACCTGCAGCCTCCCTTTTTGCGCTCCTTCTTCCTGGGCCAGGGCCTCAGTGCCCTGCTGCCCTGTGTGCTGGCCTTGGCACAGGGTGTCGGGCGCCTTGAGTGCCCCCCCACCTCTTCTAATGGCACCCTGGGCGCCCCCCACTACTTCCCAGAGCGCTTCTCAGCCAGCTCCTTCTTCTGGGCACTGACTGCCTTTCTGGTTACCTCGGCTGCTGCCTTCCAAGGGCTCCTACTGCTGTTGCCATCACTGCCGCCACCACCGTCTGCACCCTCAGGGGACATGGGGTCTCACCTCCAGCGGAGCACCCCTCAAGCTGGTCCTGAGGCAGGAGTAGGGGAAGAGGAGGTCTTGCCCCTGCGGGAGTCGCCGAGCCAGGCAGAAGGCACCACCCCCAGCCCTGACCCCGAGGCCCACAGGCTACTGTCAGCCCGTAGTGCCTCCCTGCTGGGTCTGCTGACCGTCACCAACGCACTGACCAACGGTGTGCTGCCCGCGGTGCAGAGCTTCTCCTGCCTGCCCTATGGGCGCCTGGCCTACCACCTGGCTGTGGTGCTGGGCAGCGCTGCCAACCCCCTAGCCTGCTTTCTGGCCATGGGTGTGCTGTGCAGGTGCGGAAGGCGCGCGGCCCTCGGGTGGAGGTGGGTCTCTCTGGTTCTGGTGAGGCCGGCCCTTAGTCTCCGCTTCTGCAGGACCCTGGCAGGCCTTGCTGGTCTCTCTTTGCTGGGTGTGCTCTTTGGGGCCTATCTGATGGCGCTGGCGATCCTGAGCCCCTGCCCACCCCTAGTGGGCACCTCTTCAGGGACCGTTCTTGTGGTGAGTACCAAGGGTACTGTCACAGAAAGGAAGGGCAGTAGGGACTCACTCAGTCTGCGGAGGACAGGTTTGGGTTTGTGGGGGTCCCGTTTGGCCTGTAGGGAAAGCGCGGCATGCTCGTTCAGCCTACATTGTACCCATTCTTAGGTCGTGTCCTGGGTGCTCTGCCTTGGCCTCTTTTCCTACGTGAAGGTGGCAGCCAGTTCTCTGCTACACAGTGGGGGCCGCCGGGCATTGTTGGCCGCAGGTGTGGCTATCCAAGTGGGCTCCCTGCTGGGGGCAGTCGCCATGTTTCCTCCCACCAGCATCTACCACGTGTTCCTTAGTGGGGAAGACTGTGTGGATGCTTGCCACTCCTGAGTGGGACTCATCGATCCCCATCTTCACTGTCCTGGAGCCTCGGTGTCCTACACGGCCTGGTACACTCCAGACACCTTTCCACTCCTCAGGCACCCTGGCATTCTGGCCAGAGTGGAGACCAAAGAGCCAGCAGGGGTCAAGAGGCCTGGTCCTTCTGCCAGCCAGGGGCTGCTACAGAACTGTGTACAATAAAGCTTTTTATTCCCTGTGAAGAGGCTGTTAATCCCAGCTCTCTCTTGCGCACATACAGCAAACTCACCTTGCCCAGCCAGAAAGGGCCTCAGTTGCCCCTTCTGGAACTCTGACACTACCTCTGGGGGAAACTTGGTGGGCCCCAGCACAGATTCCTAGGTGACCCTTACTGGTCCTGGTCCACCTTGGAGTCCCTACACAAGAGCATTGCCCGACATGGAGTGCTGTCCCCCAATGCCCTGGTGGACAGGGATCCTTGGCTGCACTGGGAACGTAGGATGGGGTTTTAGCTGAGGTCCCTGTCTCCTCACATGGCTCCTGGGAACAGGTCCTCCGTTGCTGGCTTCGAGAGACCCCTGGGCTGGCCAAGCGGTACTTAGGAGAGTACAGGTTCTGGATGGTAACCTGTCCATCCAGGACCCTTTTGCCCAAATTCCTCCCCTGTCAGAACCACCAGCTGCTCTGACCAAGCCCACTGGTGGCCAGAGCCTTGACTTGGGCAAGTCCAGTTGCAGGTGTTTTCCACCTGGGCCACACTGGCCAGTGGTTCCCGAGGTAACAGCCTAGGCCCTGTCCCCAGCCCTGGTTAAGTCCCTGGGCTCTGACTTAGAGCAATTGTTGTGTACTGTTGAAGGTGTGCACCTGAGCAGGGCCTCACACTGGCCACAGCTTCCCTGGGCAGATGACACAGGCTGGAGCCAGTTGGACTAGGTGGTTGTCTGAGCTGGGCAGGCAGGCAGGGCCAAGAGGGTCTAAGGGTAAGTGTGACAGGCCCAGCCAGGGTCTGAGTGCCACTGCCATTCCCTGGAGGTGGGTAAGAAGAGAGCAGCTTCTGCAGGAGGCTGGATCGACATCATTCTGAGCTTGTGGCATCTGGGCCTGGTGTGCAGGCCTGCAGAGAAGGGTCTGCGGGAGGCACCTGGTGTCCTGGCCCTGCCCAGGATGTCCTGGTCTCCAGTTCCTGTCCTCGACCTCAGGAACCTCCTGGCCTTGACTGGGCTGCTTGGGGCTTCCTCTTTCTGCCCTCAGCTCACCTGCGCTTTCTGGACAGATTGGTGAGCAGGAGGCAACTCCAGAGAGAAGGTCTCCAGCCGTGATCACAGGAGCTCTGCCTTGGGGTGGCCAGCTTCCTTCTGGCTTGGACACATCCCAGCCCTGAGGGCAGAAGGTCCTGAACCCCTGCTCTGTGTGATCCCCACGGAAGGCAGTGGGCATGCTGGCCAGATGGGACCGGTGTAGCTTCCTGTGGAATTGTCCTTTCAAGAATGAGCTGCCCAGAGGGGTGCTGGAGTTGGGAGGCTGAGGGGGCGGCCATCAGGAGCTCAACTCCTCTTGCCCCAGCCCTTTGGGACCGACCGCCTGTCCCTGACCTTCCTGGGAGGGTCTGAAAGATCCCTTTCGTAGCACCCTCTGTCTAGCTCTCTGCACCATATGGATTTTGGGCTGAGGACTGCATTCTGTTCTGGACAGAAAAGGGAATGGCCCTGGCCCCAGGGTTGAGTGGAAGTGTTGCTTGCACCCAAGTGGGTCCAGGCCTGGAGTCTTAGGGCAGCAGGAAGCAGAGGTGGGAAGGTACTGCCCTTTGAAGTCCTTGCAGGCCTTCCTGTTGGTGCCCCGTTGAAAGCAGGGCAGGGACATAGAAGAGGAAGAGGCATAAGAGTTCTGTCCTTGATGGCCGTTTCAGGGCTGGCCCAAGACCAAACCTGTGGGCCTAGGGAGCACCACCTCAGAGATGAAAACCTACTGGCCAGCTGGAAGGGCCTCACCTCCACCTGGATAGCATAGTGGCTGGTGGCCTCAGATTGCACAACCTGCTCACAATACCTGCTGGAGCTGCAGGCCTAGGGCACTAGAAGAGACCTCAAAGAGATCGTGCAGAAGTGAAAACTGGTCAACACGTGGAAACGTGTACACGAATGTCCACAGCACGGCACATAGGAGGTGGACGTGGAAATGTGACACATAGAACCAAGTACATCTCATCTGCCCAATAGAGTGTTAGTGAGCTGTAAAAAGAATGAAGCTTTGATAAATATGATGACATTAATGACTTTTGAAAATGTGCTGTTTTCCCCAGTCCTGTGAGCCATTTCTTTAAATCAAGTCCTCTCTGGAGAATTTTGTGTATGTGTTTATATTTACAGACCTCTGGTGGCCTCATCTGTCATAAGTTGGGCTGCCAATCCAGAGCCTCAGTTCTGGCAGTGTGAATCCACCAGTGGCTTCAAGGAAGAAAGATGAGCTGTCTCCTTCCATGTAATTGACTGTCTGGAACCCTGCAAGGAAGTGAACTAGAAGTTCGTTCTGGCACAGCGACAGTGAGTGTTGTGTGTGTTGGTGAGTGTTTGGTTTTAGTTTTACATATCTGCCTTATGTTCCTTAGAAGCAAAAATTGTAAGACTTCTTTCACACATTTTGGGCATGTTAGCTGGGACCGATCTTGTTTGGAAAGGTTGAGGGTCAGCAAGGACGAGGCGCGCCCTCAAAGAGATGGATTGATAGTAGGTCAAGCACAGTGGGGATTGTGAGGACGTCAAAGGGCCAGGCAGGTTTTGGATATGTTGGACATATGGTCACTATGACCCAGGCTCGACTCGGTGGTGCCTAGGCATTAGCGTCTGCATTGCTGCTGACCCTGTTCTTCAGGAGATCTCTGATGCAGTGGGAATATTATGAACAACTTTTTCCAAACAGATTGACCTAGGTAGTCTTAACAAAAACCATCCAAGGACACAGATTACCAAGGGGAAACAAACTAGATAGACTTACAACAAGTGAAGAGATTGCCCTCATGATTGAGAAACTTCGCAAAGTGAAACCTAGGCACAAACAGTTCCGCTGGTGTGTCCTCCCAACAATGGTGATTAATCTTATAAAACATAATGCATGGAATGATTGTATGAAACACAATGTGGGTGAAGAACAGTGTGAAATAAAATGTATATGAACTTTGTAAGCAAACCAACATAAAACTAAACAACAAAATGTGAGAGAATCTCAACATGCAAGGAGAAACTCAAGGAAACATTTTACAGTTTAGGATAATACAGTATGGTTGTTTATGAGACAAAATAAATTTTCTGAATTATTAGTAAATAGGAATGAAGCTTTACAGACTACCAAATAAATACAGAAATATCATTTGTTAACTATTAGATGGCAAATTTTAAAAAGGTCCTTTAAAAAACACACTACAAAACTCTGCTGCAATACAAAAAAAATACAAAGTAACACCAAGAGTTCACATTTTCTGCAAAAGTTTACATTTTCTACAAAATGAGACAGGGAGCTCTTCTGAACTCATTCTGTGAACCTTGCTCTCTTACTAAACCAGACAGAACTTTAAAACAACTAACAGTCCTCACAGTGACCAACACAGAGGAGTCTTGGACTCCAGATCTAAAGGACAGCCTTCGTCCAGGAAGGAAACTATGAACTCAGAAAGGGGCAGGAGAGGAAACTGAATGGGGACAAGGGAAGTGTGCTTCATGCTGGCCTTGTGGTCAAGCCAGCAGACAGCATGTGTGTGTGAACTGTTGGATAGATAGCCACTTGTTCTGCACACTTGCACATAAATCTCAGTAAACAGACAAAAGGCATCGAATCAGAACTGTACATTCATATCTCTTGTATATAGACGTAAAAGGTCTCCACAAAATGCTAGCACTTACAGACTAATAGAAGGGAGTGAACACTGAGCAGTGAGATATGCCTTTATATACCAAAATCAACCAGCATGACACACATTAATAATAAACCCCACATGATCATTTCAGGCTGAGAGAAAACCTTGGGTAAAATTCAAACACCATTTCAGATAAGAATACTCAACTAAGAACTTCCTCAACTAATAAAGAACATCCAAGATAAACCCAAAACTAACATTCTCCTTAGGGTAAAAGCACAGAAACTCCCCAAGAAACTGACTAGGATGTCCACTCTGCTGTGCTGGAGGCTCTGGCCAGTGCGGTGAAGCGGGAAGGCATTCATTTTGGAAAAGAAGTAAGACTCTTTCTACCTGATACTATATGTTGTTGTTGATTGCCTTCAAGTTGAGCACGAATCATAGTGACCCTATGAACAAAAGGCCGCAAGCCTCTCTATAACTATCAACATTTATTAAAGTTTATTGTAGAGTTTCTGGAGGCATGTTTAGCAAGTGGATGACACTCCTGCTTATATGTAAAAAATTCTAAGGACTTGTGGCATTTATCTTTCAATATGACTTTTTGTAGCCATTATTTGACTTTCTTATGCAGATGGGCGGGAATATGTGAATAGGGCATGTTAGCCTATCCACAAAGGGATTGATTGGCTGTCTACCATTCCATGAGAGGATTGACCAGTCTCAACAATCTATGAGACGTTTGGCTACTCTCACCAATAAATTAAATAGCTCTAGCTGCAGAGACAGATCTTCTGGTGCTATTGAAAACGCAATAGAATGTAGGATGTCCTTCTTGCTCCAGCTACTACAGCAGCAACACCTGTGGCTAAACTGGAGACCTGAGGTAAGATGGGATGGGGGGTGAGGAGCCAGTATTGGCAGGACTGAGAACTTGGTAACACTGTGGCCTGAAGACATGAGGCTCAAGACTGAGGCTCTGCATGCACATTTCAGTAGCTATCTTGACAGTATTCTGTTATTAATCTGGATTATAATCGTTTGACTTCCCCAATATATTTCTGTTTGGTCTATGAACATTAGATTGGGACCCAGCAAAGCAGCAAGATTGTTGTTGAGATGAGTAGAAAGAGGCATGGGAGCGTGGGGGACATGTCTGACCTTATGGAAATTGTTTTGTGTT